CTAACTCTTTTTACCTTTTTTAAAGATTAGAGATACCTTAGTAACTGCGCTAATTGCTTAAAATAGTTAGTAAAGCCAATACGCGGATAAATACTTACTAGGGTATTAGATTATAGTTTTAAGAACGCGAACCTAGAAAGCGGCTATTATATTCTTAAAGTTGTATAATCTGCTTTTACTATTAGGCCCGGATGCTCTAAGTACTGTCTAGACTAGGGTAAGCGGATATTATAGCTTTATGCGATGCAATGCTATATATAAATACCCGCCCCTATAAAAAAAAAGGCAAAGAACTTATTAGCAAAAATAGAATACTATTAAGCGGACGAGAGCGTTCTTTATAATTATGCTGTTCTTGCTCGCCGAGTAGGGTTTAAGTTTTAGCAGATTAATAACTTAATAAATATATTGTCGGATAGAGAACTTACACGGAAAATATTGCTTTTAGCTCGGAAACCTAGCTATTATAAATATAATAATGCCGAATTTAAAGCTTATATAGATAAAATAGTCTAAATATTTATAACAGCTTTAAAACTGCCAACTAAGAAACTAAAACTAAAACCCGCTCTCGTTTCTAATAATCCCGAAGCAGCTAGAAAGCAGTATAGATATCCTGGCCAGGATGCCTATAAATAGAATAAGGAATTTCTTTTTATAATAAATATGCAGGATAATAGTAATAAGAAATATAGTAAAAAGATTATATTATTCTTTATATATTAGTTAGTATACTTTGCTTTTTTTAGTAAACCTATAGGCCTGTCTACTAAAGATAATTCTATTCTAATAGCTTAATATACTGTATTTTTATTATCTTTAGGGGTGAAAATAGAGGGAATAGAGCAAACTTAGCAGGAAAATTTGCAGAAAAAAAGGTTAAAGCAAAAGGTTTTAGAATAAGAGGTGCTGCAGTAAAAAATTCTATAGATCCTAGAGCAAGAGGTTTTAAAGTAAAAGGTGCTGCAGTAAAAAATCCTACAGGTTCTAGAGTAAAAGGTTCTAGAGCAAGAGGTACTATAGTAAAAAATCCTATAGGTTCTAGAGTAAGAAGTTTTAGAGTAAAAAGTGCCGCAGTAAAAAATTTTATAGGTTCTAGAGTAAAAGGTCCTAGATTAAAATATATTAAAGTATAAGAGATTAATAGAGCAGAAGAAGCTGTAAGAAAAGGAGAGCTTATTTAAAAAGGAATTTTCGGGAGATAACTTAGGGGAAGAAAGGGAACCGGCCGAGTAAACGCCTCTATCTACCTATATTAAGTTTAAGGTATATAAATAAATAGGTAAAAAAATAGTTTAGAAAATATTTTAAGTTCTTAATATAGATCCCTTTAACCTATTTAAAGTTAAGCAGGTAGCGGCGAATTATATAAGAAATAGGGTAAGGCTTTTTAATAGTTACCTAAGCCTATTAACACCCGGAAATTGTTTTAAAATAGTAACCGTCCAGGGATTTAATACTATCTACCTGCTTTAAGAAAAGGAAATAATTAATATTAGTAAGGATCTCGAAAACTTTATCCCTAGGCTAATATTAGAGGAAGAAAAGAAATTAGCGGAGGAGAAATTAGCAGAGCAGAAGAGGATAAAGGAAGAGAATAGGTTAGCGGAGAAAAGGTTAGCAGAGGTAAGGTTAGCGGAGGAGAGGTTAGCAGAGGAGAAGTTAGCGGAGGAGAGGTTAGCAGAGGAGAGGTTAGCGGAAGAAAAGAGATTAGCAAAGAAGAAATTAGCAGAGCAGATAGAGGAAGAGAATAGGTTAAAAAAGAAAAGGTTAGCGGAAGAAAGATTAGCAGAGTAGGAAAAGTTGTTCTATATAGAGAGCTTGCAGGAAAAGCAGAAAATACCTTAAGATTTAGAGCAAGCTTAAAAGCGCAATATATAGCTTAATATAGATAATATTATACTTAGTAACAACCTAATAAATTTCTTTCCCGCGGATATACCTAGTAGTTAACCTACCGAGCCTAAAAACTATTACAGAGAAAGAACATATATTTTTAACTTCGACCCGGAGATACTAATACTAGAGATGCCTTATTTTATACTAAAAAAGCCTTATTTAATACTAAAGCCTTATTCTACCTATATTAGCTTTATAGTATATAAAGAAATAAGTTAGAAGGTATCTTAGGTTCTTAATATTAATCCCTCTAAGCTATCTAAGGTTAAGTAAGCAGCAATATATTATATAAGAAATCGGACAAGGCTCTTTAATTATTATCTAAGCCTATTAACTGCGCAAAACTGTTTTGCGATAGTAATATTACAGGGATATAATTCCATCTTCCTAATATAAGAAGATAAGGAGATTAATATTAGCAAGGAACTTGAGAATTCTATTCCTAAACCAGTTCTTAGGCCTATACAGAAACGCTATTAGAAAGCAAAATAGGAAGTCGATATTAATAAACCTATTCCCGGCGGAGAACCTATCTAGAAACGAGTTTGCCAGTTGCCCCCACCTAAAAAAACAAAGCAGGTTAATAGAACACGGTATAAGTTCTTATAAAGACTACAGCGAAAAATCGCACAGGTATAGAGTTTCTACAGGGCCGGCCTCTTATCGTATTATAATTATACTAGAATAAGATAGACGCTATTTTATAGTTTTAATCCCTCCGGTAAAGTATATAAAAAGTAGGTAAGGCTGGTGCCCTTTAATACTAACCTAAACTTATTTACCGCGATTATTATTTAGGGCAACAACTGCCTAAAAATATAAAATAGATATAGAAGCTTAATCCTAGTTTTTAAAACAAAGTCTACTAAAATAGAAGCGCAGAAAACAAATTAAAATAGCTAAGTTAAGTAATAAAGAAAGGATTATAAAGACTTATAACGTCCCACCCTATATAGCGCAAGACCCCCCGTGCCGCAAGAAGAATATATTTTAGGTATCTCGCTCTCTCCCTCGCGATTTAATTAAGTTGTAATTAGTCTATTATTATTCTTTAGATATTTCTCCCTGCAAAGCTAGTATACAGCTAAAAAATTACAACCTTTTTAATTATACTATCGATTATTCCTTTTAGAGAATTTAGATTAGTATTAGCTTTACACCTCTACCGCACTATAACTATCTCCTAAATTTTATATTTCGGAGTATTAAAACAATAGCTCTATAACAGGAGAAGATACCTTAAAGGCTTAAGGCAATCTAATATTTTACTAGGAACGTTTAGTATTATACTAGCAACTAAAGATTAGATTATAATTAGCAGTTTTATACTAGTAACTTAGGGTTATAATTAGAACTTTTATACTAGTAACTAAGGGTTATAATTAGAATTCTATACCTTATAAGGCGTACTAGAATAGGCCTTAATTATAAGTTAGGAAACTTATATATACCTGGGTAGTCGCGCAAAAGAAATTATACTTTTAATTTAGAAACGGGCAGAAATTTTAAAGCTTTCTAAATAACAATACTTCCTTTTTAATATAGCTAGCTAGTATTACGTGCCGCGTATAGGAGAACCTATAGCTAAAGTAAAAGCTAAGTATATTAACTATAGATTCCACCTAACTTCTCTAGGTTAGCTATACAGCTTTAGTAACAGAAATCCCTTATAATAAAGGCCCTAGACCTACCACCGAGAACGCTCTTATTATAGTCTAGAGATACCTACACAAAATCTCCTATCTCGTATAAGGGTTTTATAATAAAATAGCAGCCTCTATTAAGTTGTATAATACCTTAGCTAAAAAGGCTTAATATTATAAGCAGTTTTTAATCCCGGAATATAACTATGTTCTATATATATATAAAGAGGAGATTTAGGCAATAAAAAAGAAATCTAAGGCTCGCAGTAAGGAAGCGTATAAGGGGAGAGAGTTAGAATGCCTAAATAATAGATTTGTTCCGGCACAGGGGGTTTTCCGCCACGCAGGGGGGGATGTTAAAGCTAGAGTTTAAGCTAAATTCACACGATTTATATATAATTATAGGAAATATTAATATATACACAGATTCTAATTTGTTTAAAGTTAATATACCCCTTATATTTTGCGGCACGGTGGGTTTTGCGTAACTTAGGGACGGATATTACCTACTTACACCGTATAGTAACCGTTTCTGTCCGTATACAACCCTAAGAGTTGCTTATTAAAGTTATAGGCGCCGACGTTTAAGAAAATATTAGCAAAAATTAAGCTACTTTCTAATTATTTTCTTTAATACTATAAGACCTAAGTATATGCATTATTATTATATATATTCCAAATACTCGAATTTAACAGAAATTTATAAAATAGATAAGAAGAGAAGATAATAAAATACTAGAGGTTCCCGCCGGTAAGGAACTAGAGCTATCGACTCCGCCACCTAAGTAGTAAGTTATATCCCTAGTTTATAAACCAATAGGCTCTAATTATAAAATAGCGCAGAAGTTAATATATTATAGCAGATAGGGATGTATTAGGATGTTGAAACTCGATTTATTAGGGGATAGCTATAATCGCTCTTCTGCGTATTTATTATACTAGCGCTTATATAAAACTTTAATTATATCCTCTAATCTATATCTAGAAAAGGGGTTGTAGAGCTATATATATAGCTTCTTCTTAGTTAGGAAGTTACTACCCCTAGCAGTATATATCTCTAGCTTCGCAATCTAATTATTTTGTTATAGACTTGCTCCTAGTATTTTTATGCTCTTTTTATATTTTCTAGAGCAGCTAGCTATAGTATATAAAAAGGCTTAGGTTTAGAATTATAAAAAATCTAGTAATAGTTATTATTACTATAGCTGTTATAGACTAATATCCGCTTCTTGCAGTATAAATATTAACTAATATTATAAAGAGACTAGTAGCAGAGTTTATTAGGGCCGCACTATTAAAAGTTAGTTTAGTTACGCATAGGTTGTATAATAAATGCGCGAATATAAAGAGCTTCTGCCTTAGCTATATAAAATTATCTTAGTAAGTCTACTAGAGTAGACTAATTCCTAGCACTCCTAGAAAATAATATACGGCGCCTATTACTAGTAGGAAAACATTTTACACAGCTCTTAAAACTGTCTGGCCAGTATAGGTTTTACCCGCGGCTGCTTCTATTATACTAGAATAACTAATTAAAGTAAATATACTAGAAAAGACTATATACCCCGCCAGGAGTATATATATAGATATAAAGGCGAGAATATTATATATCCGAGGAATATTATTAAGCTGTAAAAGCATATTTATATACCGGGTGTTGCCTGGCTCGCTATAGAAACGGCGCCTAAGTATTGTAAAAGAGTAATATAAAAAGCTTCTTAAAGCTATTTTTCCGTATATAACTTGCTAAGGTCCAGGACTTACTTTATAGAAAGAGCGGGCTGGTTTAAAACGCTATAGGTACCCTAAAATGTACTTAGACGGCCTTAAATTATATAGACACTAGATATAAGCGTTCTAGGGGAAAAAAAGCGGCGCTTCTATATATAATTTAGTTAGCTATCTTCTAGCAGTATTATAACTCTGTTTAGTAAAGTAGCTCTCCCGCTTTAATTAACTCTTCTTAGCTTTTTCATCTAAATTAATTAATTATTTAAGTTATTATAGTTCCGAGATAAACTACTTACCGATATTAGGAGCCTCCAGTATCTCTAATAGCGTCGAATAACCACGTACTAAGTTGCCTGCTGTAATAAGATTATTATTTCGTGAAGTAGCGCAATTTGAAATTTAGGGGACTAAAATTCTTAGAAAATCTCTTCTCTACTAATAACCACGGCTTATAATTACATGTTAAATTACACTAATAAGCATAAATATTAAATATAGTTTAGTATCTATATTAAGATAATAATAAACAAAGCTACTGGTTTTACTAATTATATAACTATATAAGATTATTTAGGAGCTTAATATAGTGTACTAGTAAAGAAGTAACTTATTTACTTTATTAAGACTAATCCAAGTAACGCCGAAGTATAGCAAAGCACCTAATTGCTTAAATAAAAAGTATTCCATCTATTATTTTAACGTTTCTACTAATTATACAGTATTTAGTTAATTCTTCTTAGGGATTTCCGCCTTTAATTAGTACTGCTTTAGAGGAATTATAGCCTCTAGGTCTAGGGAAGGGCGTTAAATCCGCTAACTTGCCTTCTAGTACTTAACTTACTTTCTGCAACGCTTTCCAACTTTAGTTTCCATCTACAACGCGTGATATAGTCTGCCTAAGTTATAGAAGTAGGTCTATTCTAATTCTTAACAAGGTTTCGGGTATAAGTATCTATAATTTCAGATTATAAGAGAAACAGCTATAGCGTAAGAAGTAAGTTACTTAATCTAATTATTTATATATACTTCTAATAGGTTGGTAAAAGAAAGTAAAAAGCGGGGCTCCCTGTCTAGGAGCCGTTTTAATATATCTACGGTTGGTAATACTAAACTGGAGCCTCGTAGCATATTAATAGGTTTTTAAATTAAATCTCAGTAAGTATTAAGAGACTAAATACAAAGTTGGTTATAATATTACTTTTATAAAATAATTAATTAAGTTAGTTAATTAATTACAGGATATATTAAATATTAAGATATTTAAAGATAATAAAAATGTCGCCGAAGCTCGTTAATAATAATGCTTTATAATCTTGCTAAACTATAAAGGAAGTTCGTGATAATAATACTTCTAATTAGAATATAACTCGATCTTACTATAGGCTAATACCCGGGCTAAGTATGCTATTATAGCGATGTACTATGCGCTTTTTAAACAGTTTACAGGGAGTAAAAGCTAAGTAGAATAAGCAATTAGACAGGTTCTAATTACTAATTACTAACGCTGCATCTACCTGTTATTATAGAGAATATTAGATTGTAGTTAAAGCCTCGGAATAGGCTTACTACCACGTATTAGCACTTAGATCTAAACTTAGTAATTAACTAGAGCGCTAAGCCTATTAATCGATACTTATACGCCTTTCTAAGTTCTAAGTTAGTTGCTATCTTCTAAAATCTCTTGCTTATAGCTAGAGCTACTAAAGGAGCCAATATATTACTATTTCTTATTTCTTATCTTTCTATCGTCTTAAATTATATAAACTTTAAATTAACCCCGATAATATTAAGTATAAATAGACTTTTACTAGGAAATAAGCCGTTAAAAGGAAGGGGTTTAGCGCTAGAAGCCTACTAAGTTACACCGAGAGCCTTCTAGACTTATAATTTGCTTAACACGCCTATAAAATACAAGCTCCTACTTAGTTCTGCTATTTATAGACAATAAGGCTAGCAAGTATACCTAAAAGAGGAACTTAACGGTGCTAAGCTAACGCGCCGTATGCGCACTTATACCTTATAAGTATGCTCTTATAAACGAAGAAAACGTGTTTTTATTAGAGTTTATACTAGGAATACTTATACTTATAGCACTATTTACGTAAAAGTATAGACTAGTTTAGAGTGCTAAATATAGCAACCTAAAAATATAGCTGTAAATAGCGGACGTTGTAAAGCAGGTGTAGAAGTAGTATTATAATATTAAAGCTTAAAGATAACACAGGAGCTAGTGTTAGCAAAAATTGCAATAAAAGAGGCACTTATCGGGTAATAATCCAGAAGAAGTATTAAAGTGCTAATTACAATATATAAAGCTAGTTTAGTAGTGGCAAAAAAGTCGAGGTAGAATTTATAGTATGCCTGATATACACGTTATATTAGATATAAAAAGGTTGAAAAGAATTATAAGCTTACTTAAATATAACTAGCTATAGTCCGATTAACAACTAAAATATAACAAAACTAGATCGAAAATAAGAGTTACGCTATACTGCAAGAAAATATAGGTTGTAAAAGATATATAACTGTATCTAATCTAACGTAGCTTTCTTCCTTTTTAAGCTTTCTACTAAGAAAGATATACTATAGCCAATCTAAAGATGTAATTATAACTGCTTAAGCTTAGACTTTTTTATCTAGTATAAGGGATATAGATATATAAATAGCCCGTAGGTAAAGGTAGCTATATAACTACTAATATAATTACTAAAACTAACTAGATCTATAAATTAGCAATATTCCCCTTGCTTTAAGCAGAACGGATATTAACCGGCCGATATAATAATCCCGCGAATTAACGTAAGTCTACAGTAATTTAGTAGTGCTTCTAGGTGTTATAAGCTGTAGTAATACTAACCTAAGCTAGATATAATCTATAGAGAATATTTAAAGCAGAAGTAAGCCTTTACTAAGGTAAGTGCAGAAGGCACCCTGTAATATTCCAGGAGATATAAGCTAAGCTCGACCCTATTTTAAACTCCTGCAGAACAGTTTCCCTATAGGCACTGTAATAGTAGAAAAAGGTAAACCTTTATATAAGCAGCTATATTCTCTAGCTTTTTGCGAATAAAAGGCACTGCGCAACCTGCCTAGAGGCATTACGGTATATCTAATTAAGTTATAATTGGATACTAAGCTATAGTTATAGCTATTTTATTCTGCTGGCAGTATTTAAAAAGGTGGGATTTTAGAGCAGTTCTATTATAATTCTTTAGCTTAATATGTCTACTAAGAACTAAGTTATCTTACTTAAATAGCTGCTTTCTATACTAAGAACAGCGGCCCTTAATATTAGGTTTCGCATCCGGGTAGAATAGCTTATAAGGTACTGTTTATACTAATTCTATAAGAGGCTAAAGTGCCTTATAGATGGAACCGCTACTCCTTATACTAAAAATAGCAATAGCTTATCGCCGAATAGGGTTATATATAAGTTAACTGCGAACTGCTTCGGATATAATGAAATTGCAGTTTAATATTACTGCCGGGCGCCGGAATTCGGTCTAATTCTTCGGTAGTATAAAAGTCCTTATTCTAATCTGCTTTAATATAAGGATATTTAAGATTTAAGCGCTATATTCTCTTCCTAGAAGGATAGTATTAGATCCGTTATTATTTTAGCTTCCTATAAGGAAGATTAATTAAAGTATAAGTATATAACCTGCTAGAGCACTTATATTTATATTCTCTTATAACCCTTTTATAAGTTCTATTATTATTATAAACCTAATTAATTATAGTGTGCTTATATTAACCGCGTTGTATAAGACTTATAATTATATTTTCTAGCGCGCCTGCTCTTATAAATACTCTAGTTAAGAGATTTCCGGTAGGGCAAGCCTTTTAAAATATAGGAATTTCGCCTATTTCCTGTTTATACTAAAATATAGTAAGTCTTCCAGATGCCTATTCTTAAATTTAGACTAAATCCAGAGGTTCGGTTATGCTATTAAGGACACTATCAGCAATAGTATATGCTAAGAAAAGCGTAACTGGACAAATATAACGCTCGGCCGGGTTATCTAGAAGTAGTATTAGAAATCTAATTTAATTAAGTTTAACTTTGTCTTTAAGAAGGTGTTCTCGCTCACTCTTTCCACTATTTCGAGCCGGGGTGCTAAGTATTTCAACGAGTTATATATAATAGTAAAAAGAAGCAATAGCTATAGTTATCCCGAGTCCGTATTAAGGTAATATCCCGATAATACAGTCCCTTACTAAAAGCACTTATTAGCAGAGCGAGTTATATATACAAAATTATCGCGAATACTATTTAGAGCCGGAATTAAGGGTGCTTATAAACGTGGTTATCTCGAGCCTAAAGAAAAGTAAATAAATCTATAATAGAGGACCTATATAAACAAGGATTAAAGGGCCGGCATTTTTAAATAAAAGGTTCTAACGAAAGTAATAGATAGGGAAATATAGGATTACTGTCTATTATTATAGTCTCTTAATTAGAAGAGTATATATCTAAGTAGAAAGGGATAAATAAGTAAGGTATATTATTCGACGTTAGTAACAAGGTTTTATAACCGCAGGCGTCTGTTAGTACTCACGTTTTAGAGGCAATTCGCGCCTGGTAAATTCCATTATAGGCACCTCTTTCTAGCCTAATAGCCGATTCTAGAAGCACTGTTTAGTAAGCTAGGGTCTAGAACTATAGAAGCTAGAAACAGGATCTTAAAAGCAATACATGCGCCTACTATTTTATAATTTACGTTAAGGAATTGCTTATAACCTAATTATATAAGGCTTAATATTTAATAAAGTCTAAAATAGAATTAGATAGAAACTTAAAGATAACGAGTTTCCTATAGTCTTTTATGCACTGCATAACCATCTAATTAATTAATTAATTAAGTTAGTTACTATAGCGTGTATTAAAGAGATTTCACCGGTTTATTATTTAAGTTAAGTTAATTAAGTAA